TGCTCTTCCGATCTCCCCAAAACCCCAAAACCCCATGAAAATGATGTGTTTCTAAATTGAATTGGCTTACGTAGTAGTAGTAGGATTTAAAATTAAAGTAAACATTAAATCATTATATCCTCAATCTTTACTATTTATGAAACTTCATTACTTTGAACGATTATTAGTCTGCGATAACTGCTACTGAATACTTGAGGAGTACTTAGTCTTTTTGTTCTCTGCTTCGAGAGAAGCGAAAATTTGTTTTTCATAGTGTTGGAAGACTGTAGAAAAATCATTGTTAATAAAGAACTCATAGCCTTTGTAGATAATAGCTTCCTGTATTGCACAACCATCTGTAAGTTCATCAACAGCAACTGCTGTAGCAATCCCTGAGGCGACTTCATCACAAATATCTGATTTCTAAGTAGATGACCAGATTGAGAAAACTGGATGATCTTTGATAAGAGTTAGGCAAGTGTCTTTAGGTGATGCATTCACCTTAGCATTTATACAACTCTCATAATCTTCTTGCTGGTTAGCATTCAAATACAAATCTAGAATCACCAAGTAAGAAAATGAGACATATTCTGCAAGAGAGCTTATCCCTATTGAAGCGAGTTGGTTAAACAGCTTTTTATGAATCTCGCAGACTTCCTGTTAGCTTATTGAAACCATGGGGTCAATAGGGTCAAACCAAGAGTTTAGGCCTTAAGTGTTTTACAGTAGATTAGAGCAAGTAGAGTCGAAATCCTTTTGTTCTTGTATACTGTGCTTTAATTCAGTCACAAACTGAGTTCTTTTTGGCAAGTTATCTAAATACTTATCGCAAAAGTCATATTTAAATTGCTCAAACTCAGTTGAATTCCCTTTTTTCAAATTTAAGTACCTTGTTAAGAAAAATCCTGAGTAGTAACAGGTAGAGGCTTTGACAGCATCTTTAAATGAAAATTAATTATAAAGTATTTACTTGGGATCTCAAGTAGTTGATTAAGACAAAAGTCATTTATATAGGCATGGAAGGCTTTAGGTGGATCGACCAGTGTATCATCGTTAAAAACTTTCGACAAATTGTCTAGACATTACTGCTTAACAGGGTTTGCTGATAGAGTCTGCCCTGAGGCTGGTTAGGTTGAAGAGGTTGTAGTTTAATCTTAGATGATACTTTGAATGCCCTAAACAATAATACTTTTGAAATAATACATTGACAGTCAACAAGAGTACTACTAAACTATGAGTTAATTACTTAGTCTTCATTTTATTTTTAGAATTATAAATTAATCATTGAATTAAAAATGTTTAAAATGAAAATTAAGTTTGAATCGTTGTTTGCTGCTTTATGTTTTTATCAGGCATTAGCTTAAACTCAAGTGGTCAACAATTTCTGTCCAAAACTTCAATGCTAAGCTTCGAAACCTTATAACTACGTAGACAAGCTCTGCTACTTGCATTCGGGCACTATGATCGAAGAGGCTTATTTTTCGATTTTTAATTGTCAAGATAGCAGTGAGTTTTGCAATATAAATGACGGAGTGTTTCAATATGAAAGAGACGGCTTTTGGCTTAATAAAAATCAAAAGGCGAACTACTCCACAAGCAAGCTAGTTGCCTTTTGCACTGATTAATCTTCATTATATAAGAATCTCAAGCCAGGATAGCCTTGTAAATATGATTTCTAGTGCGCTTTGAATTAGTGTGAAGATAATATATGCAAAGGAGGGTTCGCTGGTGATCCCTGCAAATAAACTAGTGATTGTTCGCCTAATTATTATTGCAATTCAGTGACAAGTGAGTCATTAACTTGGAAAATGTGCGCCCCCGCTAAATCTCTCAATGAAAATTGTACTTTTGACTATGAATGCTAGAACTAATATGTATGTAGCAAAGTGAACACCACTCATGCTAAGACCTGCTTGAAGAGATGGAGTTTGCCTGAAGGGAGTTCCACCAGTGATCCAAGACTATGCTTGACAAGCTTCACAACAACTAAGGGAATTTGCTCATTAATATAATCAAGTTATTAGATTAGAAATACCTCAACAGACTGTAATATCAATTCTAATAATGGGAAATGTGTGGCTATCATGAACTTTGACAAATCGGAAAGATCAGATTTAATTTTTTGCTAATGCTCGTTATTTGACACTGTAAGCTACTGCAGATGGCCAGGACTGAGTATTTCTCTAAGATTCTACAATCTCGCTTCAAAACTTTATTAATAAAGTCCCTACTGTTCTAGATCTTCTCTGCTTGATGATCCTCTTAAAATAAACTTTGCTGAGATAAAGTCTTGCACTTCACTTAGCATGGATCTATTCAAGGAGTTTGTTGATTTTGCTAATAGATGGATTTACGCTGCTCCATTAAAAAGTTCATATTATAACTCTACATGTTTTGAGCAGATAGCAGTAACAAGCTAGAAATAACTAGGGTCAATAGTCAATAAGGGGCACGAAGAAGTATACCTAGAAGAAGGAATATATATAAAAATGTATTTGCATATATTATGGTTGTGTATATTAACTTTATTCTTAATTTGATAACTAAGCTTACAAGAGGGGTTTTGGGGTTTTGGGG